GGCTCGTTTTTGCAAAAAAACCGGCTCGTTTTTGCAAAAAAACCGGCTCGTTTTTGCAAAAAAACCGGCTCGTTTTTGCAAAAAAACCAGCTCGTTTTTGCAAAAAAACCAGCTCGTTTTTGCAAAAAAACCGGCCCGTTTTTGGGAAATCTGCACAATGCAAAAACTTTTTTTAAAAAAAATTCACCTCTTCAAAATCTTGGTGTGTCTTACACTCTGAAAAATACAGTAGATGGCATTCCTGGCTTGAGAGTAAACTTAAAACTTAAGGTGTAAAGGGTAAAAGTATAATATATAGAGAGTATTTCAATAAAGGCTATAGCTTAGGATAGTGATATAGAGATAGGATTTTTTGCAAATAGGATTGTGACGGAAAATATGTATACCGATATGGAAAAGCTGTCACAAGTGAAATTGTGTATGTGTGTGTGGGGGGGGGGTGTTAAATGTCGGAAAATGTAATAAATACCATTTTAAAAATCAAATACTTTGGCCACCTAATGAGAAGGAAGGACTCCCTGGAGAAGAGCCTAATTAATGCTGGGAAATATTGAGGGCGGAAGAAGAAGGGGACGACAGAGAAGGAAGTGGCTGGATGGGTTCACCGACAAATGCGTGCTGGACAAAAGCGCGCCGATGAAACCGCGGGGAAAAAAACCACGAGTTTGAAATCACGCCGACGAATGAATGCAGAAGCGCGCCAACAACAGCGCGCCGACAGAAGCGCGCTCTAAACCTAACCCTAAAGGTAACCCTAACCCTGAACCTAACCCTTACCCTTATCCTAACCCTTACCTTCACCGTAATCGCGCTTCTGTCGCCACTCTTTTGTCACCACGCCTTTGTGGGAGCGCTGTCGACGTCATGGTTTTATCGCTACGGTTTTGTCGGCGCGCTGTTGTCGGGCGTGCATTTGTCGGGTCACGGGCTGGATGGAGTCACCGAAGCAGCCGGCGTGAGCTTCAGTGGACTCCGGAGGATGGTAGAGGACAGGAGGGCCTGGAGGAACGTTGTCCATGGGGTCGCGATGGGTCGGACACAACAATAACAAAAAATTGAGGAAAATCCTTGCGTTTTTAGCTTTTTTCTACCCATTGTGTTGGCTTTGGAGATTTCCAGCAAGTGTGATTGTGCGTGACGGCAACGGAAGTGCATTCCTGCCCTTGTCTTCTTGTGTCGTCGTCGTCCCCCCCCCCCCCGCTCAGCAGCCTCCTGGTGTTCCTGAAGGACGCGACCTGTAGCCGGGTGCTGGACAAGGTGTTGGAGGTGTCGGATGCGAAGGTGCTGCGCTCCTTCTACAAGGCTCACGTGAAGGGACAGCTGCGCGCCTTGTCAGCTCACAAAGTGGCCAACTTCACTTTGCAACGGCTCATCCAGGCCGCTTCGCGGAAACTGGTAAGGGGTGTGTGTGTTTGTGTGTGTGGGGGGCTCCCAGCTGGCTTAAAGCGGGGTGTCGATTTTTGGTTGAGCTTGAAAAGCTAAGAAGGGACAGACCTGGTTAAGGCTTCGAAGGGGCAGGGAGAGATTTGGGTTCCTCCGTCAGGAATGGTGGAAGGGACTGGTAAGGCCGCAGGCTAGAAGCCAGGAGATGGTGAGTTCTAGTTTGGTTCAGGCGTGAAAGCTGGCTGGGTGGCTTTGGGCCAATCACTGGGAGATGGGGAGTTCTAGTCCCATCCTAGTCGTGGAAAACTATTTGGGTGATCATGGGCACTAGGAGACGGTGAGTTCTAGTTCTGACTTAGGTATGAAAGCTGGCTAGGTGACTGTAGGCCAACACTAGGAGTTGGTGAGTTCTAGTCTTACCCTAGTCATGAAAGCTGGCTGGGTGATTATGGGCCAATCACTAGGAGACGGTGAGTTCTAGTTCTGCCTTAGGTATGAAAGCTGGCTGGGTGACTGGATCAATCACTAGGAGACTGTGAGTTCTAGTCCCACCTTAGGTATGAAAGCTGGGCTGTGTGACTTTGGGCCAATCACCAGGAGATGGGGAGTTCTAGTTGAAACCTATCACGGAAACTAGTTGAGTGATTATGGGTCAATCTCTAGGAGACGGTGAGTTCTAGTCTCACATTAAGTAGGAAAGCTGACTGGGTGACTGTGGAACAAACACTAGGAGACAGTGAGTTCTAGTCCCACCTTGGTATGAAAGCAGCTGGGTAACTTTGGCCCCAAGTATGCAAAGGATTCCTCAAAGTTCCAATTTATTAAGACAGACATGTTGGCACATCTGTGAAAACCCGAATCTGAAAGCTTCCCGGGTTTTCCCACCCTGTTGAAAGTTCATGATCTTGCCCCCACACCCACAAGTCCATCCCATGGTCCCATCTTCCACTGCCACGCTGGCAGCTTCCACCCATCCAGTTCCGGTCAGGTGCAGAGGTGTAGAGAACAAGAGATGACCTTGGTTTCTAGTCGGTCTCCGTCCGGGGGAAATAGGAGGAGGGAGGAATATGTGATAGTTTCACTGTCAGCGCATGAGAGTTCATGGTAAGAAGGTCAGCCAATGAATGAGCATAGCAACTAAGTCAGCCAATGAGGGCCGTTTGGAAACTGAAAGAGTATTTGCTGTGTTGAGCGACAAGGAGACAGCAAGGAGCCTGGGCGTGGCTTAGCTCAACCGCTGTGCTGAGCTCTGAAACTGAAACTTACGTTTTGCTTGCATTTACTCCCACATTGGAAAACCTGCTTTTGGTATTGTATATTTACTTCATGTGCTATATGATATGTAAAGAGAAGTGATTGAATCCTGCTCAAGATAAACTACCGTATTTTTCGGAGTATAAGACGCAGCCTTTCCCCCCTAAAAGAGGGTGAAAATTTGGGTGCGTCTTATACTCCTTAATGTAGCCCGACCCACCCACCGGCCCCCCACCCTTTGGCCTCTGCCTCCCAGCAATTTACCTCTTTGCAGCAAACGGGCGGAGGCTTCAATAGGCTATAACAATCCCTGCAGCCTGAAACAGCTGATGATCGGGAGAAATTGAAAGTGAGAGGCAAATTGCTGGGAGGCAGAGGCAGATTTTTTTTTCCCCTTGTGCTAATCAGGCTGTTCGGCGCAAGGAGG